ATACCCGTGCCCGCGCTCCTCTCTGTCTTTACACAGTTACTGTCTCGAAGCGGAATGGGGAGAAGTGGCTGCACGCATTCCTACGGCCCCACTTGTCTTGCTCTTTTCTTTTTGGCTTCATTTCATTGTTCCCATCCTGATTCTTCAGTTGCTTGTTTGTTTTTGTTCTTTTCTTCTTCTTCCCCCACCTGTTTGCTGCCTCGCTTCGTCTCTCCTCTCCCTTGCCTGGACGCGGCGTGGGAAGTGCCCGCCAAGGCCGTTCACAGGGACAGCCGCTGAAGCTCGTCCCGCACTGCGCTAAGGTCCACGCCGGGGCACTCGGCTGCCACCTCCTCCATCATCAGCGGCACCTCCTTCTCGACCACGGCGGCGGAGAAGGCGCCGGTCCCCAGGAAATCCAGTGTGCCCTGCACCGCGCCGAGCGCCGTGGAGCCTGAGGGGAGGTGTGGCAGAATACTACGCAGAGCCTCAATGAGGGGTCCGTACCGCGCCAGCTGCGCATCTTCCCGCTGATGGATGCGACGCAGGCGCGCGGCGTTGTCGGCGTCGTCCTCGCGTTGACGCTTTTTCTGCATCCGCTCCAGCATCACTTCGTACGTGTCGTCCTCGGCATCACCATCCCCCGCTTCCTCCGCGTAGCTTCCACCCACAGCGCCTCTCCCGTCGTCGTCGGCGGCCGCATCTCCGCCACCTTCAAGGTGTGTAGTACGCTCGAAACGACCGCGACTAGCTGGTTGCTGGCGCACCGCAGAACGTAGAGCAGCCTCCCGCTGTTGCTCCTGCTGCTGCTCCAGCAGTTCCTCTGCGCTGATTGTCTTCAGCCGCTGAAGGAGCTCGTTTTCCATCTCCATCTGCTCCGTCAACGTCATCGGTCGTCCCTCCCGCTTGCGTTGCTCAATAAGTTTCTGCCGACGGTTGTATTCCTTCATCACATACTCTTCAACGGGCGTGCGTGCCGCCGTCATATTCTTCCAATTGATGTTAGGTAACGCCGGCGCGCTGTAGGCAAGGTTGTGTTGCTTGGAAACAGAGCGGAATCGCGCGTTCTCGGCAATCACAGCCTCTTCAATTGAGACTGCAGAGGCACCCTCCACCACAAGGTGCTGGTCTGGAGTGAGTGCCGAGACCATTGCTGGAACCCCGACAGTGCCTTTTTGCACAACAACGTGGCCCGCCAGCATCGTGACGGCGCTTTCCTTTGAGGGCTGCAAGGTAAACAAATCGCTACCCACGTGCAACGTCACACTACCGTCACTCCACCGCACGACACGAGCATTGCTCATAAACGTGTTTGTCCCCTTGTGATACGCCCATCGAGCAACGTTCTGCGTTGTGAACAGCATGCGGTCGTTGCTTTTTAGCGGCGTGCACTGCGAGGGAAGAAACGGTTGCGGCTCCATGTGAAGTGTTTGGCGGTTGGGAGCAATCTTGGGCATGTCGGCGAGCCACAATTCCTCATGTGGGCCGAGGGCCGGCGCGTCCGGGAGCGACGACCGCAGACACCCAAAAGGCTCAACGCGTTGGGCTTCTAAAGCGGCCGCACCCGCCTCACCAAAGCACTTTTCTACCGCAGCAAACCGAGCTTCCGCCTTGTTATCGGCCATTTCCTTGGCCAGCGTGGCGTGCTTTTCGTCCTCAAAGTCGACGTCCTCCTCGCGAACGTGGTCGCCAAAGAGGCGCAGGAGCACCTTGCGCGTGTCGAGCAACGCGGGATCGACCGGCCGCTGATCCCCCACCTCGAAGAGGTCACCAAAGAGGTCCTCAATGGTCAGGTGCTCATCGCTGCCAGCCTCCTCCAGTGGCGGGGGCTGCGGCACCCCCTCCCTGCCGGAGGGAGAAGGCGACCGCCCCGCATCCGCCGCTGCCGGCGGCAGGGGAGGCGGAGGAGGAGGAGAACGCGGGGGCGGCTCCTCCAGCCGCGGCGGGGCGGTGAGCTGGTCGATGCTTAACGGCAGGTCCATCGTTGCTGCCGCAGACCCGAGGAAGTCTCTCTCGCCCACACCCACCACCAACAAACACACGTGGGAGAGCACAAGGCAGCAGTTGACCAAAAACCAAACGAAGGAAGGAAGGAAGGGTGAGACTTCGAGGCGAGGACAAGATGGATCGGGATCAGCCATGCATAGCAAGGGACATCCACGCTTCCGCATAGATACTCAGCACAGCCACACCCCAACAGACACGTACAAAAAGTGAGTAAGTTACGAAGAGCGAGAGCAGCAAGAACGGAAGAAAAAAAACACACACACAAGCAGCGGCTTTTGCACACTTGCCAAGACGTGCTATCAACAGGGCCCTATTAAGTTAATCGTGAAGATCTTCGTTGCGGACCTGAGCTCGCTGCTTTACTCGCCGTTTCTTTATGTCCCACTTCTTCCCTAGCTGAGCCGCAACAGCCTGGCCACGCTCCTTCAGCTTTTCCTTTCGCTTTACCTGCTTGCGACTTACCTGCTTCTTTGCCTTCCGTTGCGGGGCCTCCAGAACCAGATCTCCAACCACCCGCACGACCTTCTTGTTCATTGCCGCCGTCTCCTCTTCCTCCTCCTCGCCCTGTGTGAGGCGGTGCACCTCAAGGTCGGTCTCACGCTCCAGCCGTTCCTGCTTGAGCTTTTCACTCTCCTCAATATCCTTTTGGGCTCGCTCCGCCTTTCGCTTCAGCACAACCTTGCGATGGGCCCGCTTCTTGGCCATCTGCTTGAGTTTGCGCACCAGCTTCGTCATGATCACCACCACTGCAAAATCTGCAGCCCCACGTCTCACCCACTCCCCTTTGAGTGAGAGGCAGACATGCGCGTATGGTTCATTCCCATTGCAAATAGAAGAAGAAGAACAAAAGAAAAAAAACACCAGATACTAGAAGAGAGGGATCAAAAATGTGGGTGGAAGAATGATTTATCCATTGAACACCTGCACACACACATCTAGAGGTAGATGAACTCTTCGTTGGAGTGGGGGGAGAATGGCAGCGATATCCACACCAAACCGTCGTCGATGTGCAACAAAACTGCCACAGCATAGCAAAAAGAAGAAGAAACACACACACACACACACACACACACACACACACACACACACACACACACACACACACACACACACACACACACACACACACACACACACACAC